CCCGCAGTGGCTCTAACCTCGAAATCCGAAACGGGAAGCCTCCCCTCGGAGTTGCGGTTGGCAAAATGGGTGGATTCCGCGGTCAAATTACTGAAGATAATCGGAAAAAGGCGTCCTTTTGGCAAAATAGCGCTGGCAAACAGCGTGAAACCCAACTGAAAAGGGGTTATTTTAGAACAAATAGATGGATCCCGCCGATGAACGATGGGACCAATTGAAAAAGTTGTTCTTTTCGAGAAACAAACAAAACATTTCACAATCCAACTGAACTGAAACCCAACTGAAACAGTTGAAACTCACCTATGTTCAGCCACACGTCTCTAACTTGCCCACTAAGCTTCTGATGAGAAAAATTAAGCTTTCGTCGTGGTTTGGCTTGACACTGTATGAGTTTCCCATTGTGATCTGGAAAGATGGAACTGTCAACTTTATCTTGGATTTTTTGAAAGCGAAGACTCTTGTACTTGCTCTGCTGGAAAATACAATTTGCACTTTGTTGCCAGTTAGCCTTTCAAGCGTAAAACCTCAAACATCCGCGAACCAAGGAATAAAGCAAGGAACAAAGAGTAAACCCAAAGAGAAATGGACCGACCGAACTGCTACTGTAGGCCCGGTTTCAAATCAAAGGCCCTTGTGCAATACATGTTCCTCGATGCACATGGAACCTGACTTGAGTGCTGACAAGTCAATTGTCCTCAAGGGACCTTCTGGTGGGTTCCGCAATTAGTGGGTGGGAGTCCCGTTTGCAAGAACAAAGGATGTCCCTTTTTTTGGATGGTCCTTTTTCTTGGGGGAGGTGGGGGGGGGAGGGGTTCAAACAGAAACGCAAAGGAAGGGAAGCACATAGCCAGTTGCCCTGCAACCATGATAAAGCGAACCTTTTGTTTGGGTTGACCATTTCTGAAGCCCGCTAAAGGGTTCATGACCGTCAGGCTTACTCATTTGTCTTCTGAGCTGCGTGCCATGAGGGCTCCTTGCGGTGAGGGATGACCCCGAATTCAGTCCTTTGGCCACGGATAGGGAAAGCCACCAGGTCCCCGATTAAACTTGGAGTCTCCGTTTGACCTGATTCAAGCATGGGGATTTCCACCGCTTTCTTTTGTGAAATGCCTCCCCGTTTGTGGAGATAGCTGGATTCAAAGGGAACAGGGTCTCCTCCATTTCCCTTCTTACCTCCGGAAGTGGCGATTTCCATGAACACCAGCATATTGCAACTTATTTCGGGAAACCCAGTGACTGTGAAAAGGTCCCCTCTGGGCTGCCAGGCAGGGAGGTCACCAGCATGCGGGTGCCATCCGGGGCCGTCGCCTCGGATCCCAGGGATGCATCCGAAACGGGGCTGGCTCTATCGCGGAGTTCTTGAAACAGGGCTTGAGGAAAAACCGCCGGTCTGCGAAGCTAACACACCCAAAAAGCCATCATTCTCCAGAGGAATCTCGTCTTGGACCTTCTGTTGGGCAACCAACCGATAATTCGTTCATTTCTGGGCAAATCCTTGAAATTCACCAACCGATTAGGCCTATGAAAGAAACCATCACGCGTGACATTGCAACCTTTCCCCCCCACCCCCCGCGACGTCGCTCCAATTTGCCCAGGCAACTTGCAGAAGAGTAACCCCCTGCCCGCAGTTGCCAAATCAGAAGGTTACAGCTTGTTTGCAATATACTTAGCTCCTGTAAAGGTTGACCATTTTATTCCTTGCTGGCTCTCAGCAGGGAGTATGGAAATCACCCTTATGTACGAACCATGCTTTGTGAGCATGGAAATCACCCTTACGAACCATCCTTTGTACAATTTGTGGTTCCTTGAAAAGGTATCCATTCGTTCATTCCTATGGTCAGCCATCCCTTCGTGCCGGCTCCCCCGAATCCGCCTCTGCGCCGTCCCGATCCTTCCAGGGGCAAAAGGCCGGGCCTGGCGCCCGCCATTTGACGAGGGACCCAAACGTTGGGAGCCTCTTTTGGTTCACAAGGGACCCAGAAATGAAAGATGATCACCTTTCTGGTTGCCGCTTAAAATGGGAACCCAAAAGGGAAACTCGGGGCCTTGAACCATACTTGATTGCCAGGGACAGGTCAAGGAAGCTGGCGGCAAAACAACAAAAAAAGAAAGACTAAAACAAGGTCACCATGCATGTTTCCCATGAGGCGACTCCTTGCTTGGTGTTTGCTTGGTTTCCTCACTTGCCCTTGAGGGACGTTCGCAACCCACCAAAGTTGCAAAGTTGATTCACCTTGACAGCTGAAAAATCAGTTGCTAGGCCGTTTGGGCTTGGGACTTTTTCACCTGTAGCCCAATCATGGCAATTTGCTCCGCAGGTGGTGCCAAATATAGCGAAGCAAGGCCGGCTTAGCTTGAACCTGAATCTCAAACCCGCCAGACATTCATGAGGGGAATTCCCAATTCATTGACTCATGCACTGGTTGTTTGCTGTTGCCACCTTTTGCGGGAAACGAGCGGCACTCGTAAAAAACTCAAGCTGGGCGTCCAAAATTGAGTGGTGTTCTCATGTGTCCCTTTGAAACCAACCCAAAATGGGGCCCCGGCCCCAGTTGAAAGAAAACAACCAAAACAACATGAAGCACCCAGCTCGCTCTTCCGCATTTCGAGAGCCACCTGACCGCACACATACAGCAAGCCCTCGCGTAAGCGAGGCTTAGGCGGCTAGGTGTCGTTCTGCGGAAGTGATGAACTGAAACATGCACGGGCGTCCTTTCGGTCTCCTTTTAAAGCCATAAACAAAAACACGAGTTACAAGTACCTTCAAACAACGAAATACCACAATATGGGCGTGCCGCTGCAAAACGTATGTGAGCAACGCCCAACCACAGGTCAAGATGGCTAGACATAGCTCTCATTGTGCTCCACTGGCACCGGAAAGGAGAAGCCAAACGCCTCTGTAGTGTATGATTGGTAAAGCTAGCCCTTCAAAGCGACAAAGTGGTCGCAGGATTCAAAGGGACTCGCAACCATGCTGCGGTTCGCACCGGTCTGTCCCCCCAAAGCCAGTGCAGGAAGAAGGCGTGTGAGGGGTTTGCGCCTTGCACTGTGATGGTGTAGTAGTGAATGGGCCCTTCCACCACCTGGCCAAGGCAAAAAAACGCAGGAAAGTAGCCTTGGCCCACATCTGGGGAGTGCAGAAAACCAGACATATCCCATCATATTTAGTCTGCCCGAAAGTAGGTCTGGAGGAGATCCCTCCGCCATGGGGCTCAAATCCACAAGGAGATTCATCCGTTGACAAAGATTGAACAATGGTTTGTGGGTCGAGTATGACGGCTTCCTTCTGGTGGATCCCAGTTACCAGTAGGTGACCAGCCTTGTTCCTTGTGTTTAAAGGCTGGAGCCCTTGGTTCCCAAATGCGCATGGACAAACTTCGGGATCAGCTTGGTGGTTTGTCCCATAAATCACAGGGTTGTATCCATGGTTGGTGCAAAGCGGATTAAGTACATCTGCAGGAATCACCAGGGCTCGCCGGATATCCTATTCAAAAGTTTCAACCTTCTGGAAGTCTCCATTGAAACTGCAATTTTTGGTGGTTCCAAAAACAGGCATGAAGAAACCCTGTCACTGGGTCGCGTCTGGTTCCCCAGTTGTCCAAGTGCTTCAACACTCTCCGAAGCTTCTTGCAGGAGGAAAAGAAACTCCCTTACCATTCTGACCTCAGAACAAGCCAAGGAAAAACTGGCTGGAGAGTGGACACCTTCATTCTGCTCGTTTGCTCTATATGGGTAGACGGTCCGATGCTCGTTTGTTCGTCCCTTAAACCCAGCCAACAGGGTTTCTTGTGCTCACCTTTGGAAGATACCACTTCTGAGCCCTACCAACCTGGAAAATCACATGGTGGTTTCCTTGTGGTCCGGCGGGCTCCTGAGAGCCCCGGTGGCCCAGGGGAACCCAAGTTCGGAGCCAGGACCAGTTGGGTGTGGTTCAAAGTGTGGGGAGTTGGTTTCGAAGGGAAACCAACCGGAAAACCTCCAAAGAACAAGTACACCCAGGTTTAATGGGGCCCCAAAGGGCAAAGAGGGCGCCGCTCAACTGCAACAACTGCAGGACCTGCAGGCGTTTCTAAACACTACCCTCACAAAATAATGCGGAGCCCAAACTCGCTTCCGTGGTGGATTGGCGACCAAAAATCCTGGCACTTGTTGTTCGCCACTAAACTGGTCTTCCCAAAGCGTATAAAGTCCAGAATCCCAGGCAGCGAGCAAAGGCTGCGAGCTTGGACATGAAACAAGAGATTGGCCCAGCCTCCGATCCTCAAGCAGTGCACTTTGGCTTTGCCTAAACCAAGATGAAGCAAGGGCCGGATCCGAACCAATGGGTTCGGATCATTTCTGTTTCGGGGAAGCGGCCGCATGAAGTGCTTGTGCTGAAACCAGTTCGCTTGCCAGGCCATGGATTGAACCACTCCGGGATTCTTGGGTGGCTGTGGCGTTCTATTTTTCCTTCAAAAGACCAGGGCTCAACGTCAGAAGTAAGAACTAAAATTGATGTTCACTCGCCTCGTCGTCCCATCGACATGCGTTAGCCTTGACATGCTGCGGATGGACAAAATTTATTTCACACCACCTAAGAAACCATGGTTCAACCCAGTGAGTGTTGGTATGTTCAGAGGAATTGAATCAGAACCAGGGCTTTTTTCTCTATATTATGTTTTTGTTCTATATATGTTTCAAAACGCAGCCTTGATTTTCAAAGCGAATCAGCGGCTCGGCTCTTGCTTTTGTTGCACCTTTCGTGGAACGTACCGGACTCAGCTCAGGCTGAATCCTCAAGGCAGCTTTGGCCTAAGAGGTGGTGTAAGCATTCACGGGACCGGACGGACCTTGCAGGCAAGCTACTTATGGCCAGCCAAAGTACCATCTGCACATAGCTATACTAAGCCGAAGATTTCAGAAAACCAGCTTACTGTGGATGGACAAAAATCCTGCACTACCTAACCTAGCCTGGAATGATGATTTTTCGGGAAGTGTCAACAAACAATGGTTTCTTGGGTGGTGTGAAATGGTTTTCGTCCCACAGTATGTTAAAAATTCAGGCATTCCGAGCGTTCCAAGCGCTCCCTCTTCAAGGCTCTAGTAGAGGCTGACGATTGGTAAAGGTCACCTCGCCCGACTGCAAGTCATCGCGAAACCTTTGCAGCCTCCAGTTGCTCCTCAAACGCCCCAGTGGAGCGAGGATTATGGCACCCGCGATGCGGAAGGGCGAGGCTTCAAGCTTCCAGCAAAGGGATAGAAAGGAGAGGCACCTCGGATGCCAAGTGCCGGAATTGGCTCAGATGGAATCGGCCCTACATGAAGAAGCCGGCTATGAATTTTTTTAGGGGTCTGTAACGCGCGACGCGCCACGAATCTTGTTACGGAGGTCTGTAACGGAGGTCCTTGTTACGCAGGTCTGTGCCGGGACAAGTATCAGTAGCACAATGTAGCGCAGCACAACGAGGTATGTAATGGCTATGTAACGAGGTCTGTATGTAACGAGGCAAAGCAAAGCGCAGGACGCAAGGTGCGCCTCCGCAGCTCCAGCTTGATTGCAGCTACTCAACGCAAGCCAAGCTGCGGCGAAAAGCAGGGTTGCTGGCCCTGGCTGGGGTTGGGTCTGGAACGAGGTATGTAACGGCTATGTAACGAGGTCTGTAACGAGGCACGCCTCCGCAGCTCCAGCTTGATTGCAGCTACTCAACGCAAGCCAAGCTGCGGCGAAAAGCAGGGTTGCTGGCCCTGGCTGGGGTTGGGTCTGGAACGAGGTGTGTAACGGCTGTGTAACGAGGTCTGTAATGAGGCAAAGCGAAGCGCAGTACGCAAAGCGCGCCTCTGCAGCACCAGCTTGCTTGCAGCTGTTCAACGCAAGCCAAGCTGCGGCAACAAGGGGGGTCGCTGGCCCGCGCTGGGGTTGGGTCTGTAACGAGGTATGCAACTGCTATGTAACGAGGCTGTACCTGAAAGATCCTTTGAGTCTAAAAATAGCCTCGGATGCGATTTAGACTCCTACAAGAATTTAGACTCAAAATGAGTCTAAATAAGGCGAGGCTAAATTTATGTTGAAAAATTATTTCGCCTCAAATTAGCTTCAATTTAGTCTCAATTTTATGTCAATTGTCCATAGATTTTTGCTTGGAACCAACACTGCCAACTATTCGTTACTGCAAGGGAATCCGCACAAGCGCGCGCAAAAAATGGTATAAGTACAAGAGGGAAGCTTCGCAAAACCCACGGGCGGCCGGCAGCACAAGCGTTGGAAATGCTGGGCATGCCCGCAATACAAGTCCACATTTGCTATATGATCTGCGCGCAATGCAAGTTGGAAGCAAACAGATGTTTCACACGTGGGCCGCCCACAATTCAAAACTGGCGCGTGATGCAACCCTGTAAACGCCGGCTCCGCACAGTACAAGCGTCCAGCGCATTTCTTTTTATATACATGAGTGGCCGGTCGTACAAGCGGCGGTGGCTGTGCCACTATACATAGTGTACATGCGGTGGGGGAGCTTATATAGCGACTCCGCAGCAGAAGTGCTGTGACGTGCACAAGCGGCAACATACAAGGCTTTCCACGGTATACAACTGTGAGTGTGGGCAGGTGCAGTACAAGCGTCCAGCGCATTTCTTTTTATATACATGAGTGGCCGGTCGTACAAGCGGCGGTGGCTGTGCCACTATACATAGTGTACATGCGGTGGGGGAGCTTATATAGCGACTCCGCAGCAGAAGTGCTGTGACGTGCACAAGCGGCAACATACAAGGCTTTCCACGGTATACAACTGTGAGTGTGGGCAGGTGCAACTGGCAGCCCAAAACTGTGAAGGCGCAGAGGACAAATGCAACACGAGCAGAAAGCCCTTCAATTTTGCAGCTGCAGCAGGTTTGACAAAAAAGGCAGACTGGCCATCCTGTACCTTTTAGCGGCCTTCAAGGCGACGCGGCCCGTCAGCAGCAGACCACATATAGTGGCAAGCCAGCCCATACTTTTCTGCCGCCTTCAAGGTGGCAGATACGTCCGTCCGGCCGCTCACACAGCTGCTAATCAAGGTGGAAATGCGGCCCATGAGGTCCTCACCTCGCCAGCACCAGGCCAAATGGGGATGAAGTTTGTCAGCCCATAGCGCGCTGTGAAGGCAATAGTGCAGCTTGGCTGACATATTGAACACCCGGACCTCCTGTGCAGCATAGGATTCTGAGAGCTGCACGTACAGCTGACCCAGCAGTCGTTGTTTGCGCACCAACTCTGCTGCATTCGGGGGCGGCAGTGCCCAGTACCCGTCGGCAGGCGAATGCGAGTCCAAGATCTCATCGCATTGCAGGCTGAGTTCCAGCAACAGCTTGATACGGATACCGTCCCGGGTGTGCAAGTCCCCATAGCGCTTCCACATCGCTATCATTGCGTCTCTTAATCCCCGAATTTGACCGGCTTTGCCGCGAAGCTTTGGAAAGTCTCGCTTCTTCACAAACATTGTCAGTTTGCGCAGCGTCCTGGCAGGGTAGCGCTCGCCATGTTGTGGGCGGTGGCGGTTCTGGAAGCTCATGATGAAGTTGGCGAGGGTCCTGAGGTTTTGCAATGGCGCGGCTGCCATGTGAACGAAACAGAGAAGCCAGAAGACGCTGCCGAACAGGTACTGCGCATACCCCAAATATTTGTTGTGCATATAATCGGGGAGCGCCGCGATGCTGGTAAACCCGGGCATCTCGAAAAGAGGACAGGTGGAACGAATCGGCCTGCGAGCCCACGTCTCGGGTGTCCATTGGGTTCCTTCCCAGGGCGCGTTCTCTGAAAAATTCAGCCAAGTGAGAGGGCCTTGAAAGGTGGCACGGCAAAGTCCACAGGGCTCACTATGGGAGCTCCATCGTGGATGTCCCAGGAATTTCGCGCAATAATCTAAATCGCCGCATAAGCCTATAAGGCATGCAAAGTAGCCGTCAGCAAGAGGCTCGCCGGCCCGATTCGCATCCGCAGAGCCAGGCTCATAGGCAACTCCCCGCCAATCTCGCCTGGGCCAGGTCCCTGCAAAAAGGGCAGAAAAGCTCCACTTCATGATGCGCATAAAAACGGCCACTGTCCCATCAGGCCCCTCAACCGCACATTGCGGAGCGTGCGCCCAAATCAAGTTCATTGCCTGAAGGGTCGGCACGCCGACGGCCATGACGGAGAACCAGGACAGCAGCAGCGAAAGCTTGCACCATACCTTCCCCCGGCCAACCGTTGGGACTTCATGCCCGTGCAGCGCAATCGGCACGCACCTGGCCTCAAAATTGGCCCTTCGCAGGATTGGATGATTGGCAAGCTGCGGCATGCGCTTTCCAGTGGTCCAGAACTCCTGAAGAGCGTCCTCTCCGCCAGGCATGATGTACTGCCCGAAGGCCGCCCTGTAGTGGTGGTACATGCTGGCAAACATCACATGTGGGAGAAGGATACCGGCAGTCTCATCACCCTGCTTGGTTGGGATGTTCACTGAAAAGGGCATGGGGATGGACGGAATTCTGCAAGTCATCCGCATAATGTCGCGGTAGCAGTTATTCAAGTGCCTGCCTCCAGATCCCAACTCGCTCAGCTTCCGCAAATCCACGGGGATATTTTCTAACAGAACCCCAGCGGCTGTCATGTCTTTCACTGCCAAACTGGCAAGGCGCTGGCATTCTTGAGGGGATTTCTTTCCCAGAGCAAACTCTTCCAGCAGGTGCGTGGCAAGCTTCGAAGTGCTGGGCGCATTCTCTAACGCAGACGCCTGGAGCCTTTGTTGTACTCCACCTCGGCGCTTCTTCAACGGCGGGCCCGGCTCATCGCCCATGATCGCACCACAGTCCGCAGCGCCCAAAACTCTCAGGCCCGGATTGGTTTCTCAAGTGTTTCGCACTGTGAGGCAGTGTTGGGCAATCACAGCTAAAATAGTATATTGCACCAATTTGAACCCATGTTGCGCTCTGTAAATATTTTGTGATGCGAATTTGGTTGAATTCTGCAGTTGTACACGCGAGAGTTAGCCGGAAACACTCTTGTAAGTTGTACTACACTTGAACTTGCTGCCAGCGTTGCGCCACAAGGCTTGGAGTTTGGTGGGCAAATTGTGCCATGTGAGTTTACTGAAAAGTTGCACCATGCTCCACCCCAAGATATATAAGGTTTATACAGGTTGCATGACAGCTCAAAAGAAAAAGTGGAAAACATATTCCACGCATTGGGGCTTTTGATTGAAACAGAAGACTCACCATAAACCCAAAAGGAAAACACAACAGGAGCTGCCTATATGTACAAGTCGCTTTGGCTCACACCAATTGTGCAAAATGGCACCAAATCTTGAGATGTTTCTTCCAGAAATTGAGCAGCTCTGGTCACACAACTGTGCTGTCCCTTAAAAAAAAAGAGCTGTTCCTGAAAAAAAAGAGGCTCCTCCTTCAAGAAAATGGCTGCCCGCAGTGATTGGTTTCACAGTTTTAGAGCCCCGAGTGCTCAAACTGCACTCAAACTGCATCCAAACTACATCCAAACTACATCCAAACTGCATTATGATGATGCACTTTTGTTTGAAACTGCATCCAAACTACATCCAAACTACATCCAAACTGCATTATGATGATGCAGTTTTGATCCAAACTGCGTTGAAACTGCGTTCCGGTGAGGCTCTGTATCAAAAGTGCATTGGCGTGTTGCAGTTTCATGTGTCGCCAATGCAGTTTTGGTACAAAGTGCATCATGGTGATGTAGTTTGGATGCAGTTTGGATGCAGTTTGGATGCAGTTTGGATGCAGTTTGGATGCAGTTTGGCTGGGACTTCATTGTTTTCTGTCACGGAGGCTCTGACAAACTCGCAAATTGCCCAATCCGCGCCTTTTTTTCCAAGCAGATCGAGACTGCAAATTGAAGCACGCTGCCCGAAGCGGTGGCAGCAGTCCCACACCAGCCTTTATAGAAAGCATTGTTTCTCTTTTCATTCCTCTAGGAGTTGCTCACATTCTCTCTTGGCTGGGTGGCCGCGCTCTTATACGTTAAATGCAGAGTTTTCAGGCCAGGGCACGGTATACAAGTCAAGGCCGCTATACATGACTACATGGTGGTCTCTGAGTCACTCACACGTTAGTCACTTCAATTGGCTCCCTTGACTTGCACACAAGCGCAGACGACGGCGAACCGTAAAAAATGCAAGAGTGCACAAGCGCGTGTCAGGGTGTACAAAGCAAATGACCTTGTAATTATAAGGGAGCAGCCTTTGTGATTACGCCTTTTCACCCCTGAACCGCCTAGAAGTAATCCCACGCTACGTCCGGCTCCTCAGCCGGCGATGTCGGACTCAGCTCCTGCGCGAATCAGTGCAACGCAATGCATACAAGCGTGGGCAAGCACAAAAGTCCTCGGATTCCGTGGGCAAGGAGTCTTCGCCGTCGCTCTCCTGGCACAAGAACAGTGTACCAAACGCTCACTGTGTACATGCCGCGCAAAGGCCTCGTCTGGCGATGGCATCGTAGCTAGGGCCTGACAAGCATCCAAGTAAGGTGAACAACATTGAAGTTGCAGCGCCTTAGCCAACCTTGTCGCCGGGTTGGCTGACCCACGGATCACAGCCTGTCCGGCAACGCACACATGACATGCGGCGCAGATAGCCCAGGCTGACGCCTGGACGGGCTGCGCGGGCGCGCTTGACGGGTACGCCTGGCCAGTGAAGAAGCCCGAACGGAGTCAAGTCTAATGAAAATACAACTGCAAAGAGTCTTCAGTTGTACACTCGTGCAATTGTACATTGTACACTTGTATTGTACACAGCTGTGTGCATGTCACGCTATGCCTCTGAATCCTCAGCATTCTCATCTTCCTCAGAGTTCTCAGCGTTCATGAGGGTCCTGAGCGCCTCACAAAAGTGTGTACCAGCCGGCGGAAACGTGCGTACATATCGTACACTCACAATGTGAAGCACAGATAGATGTACAAGCCCAGAAGTGTGGTATACATTGTACATGCAAAAGGGCAACGCTTTGTGTACAATCCAAGCACACCTCTTATACATTCACACGACTCCCAAGCCCAGCCTTCGAGGAACGCGGGGTTCCGAAGGCATCGAATTTCCTCCGCTTCTCAGGGGATGGCCTGGAAGAACTGGCAGCAGGAACTCCGGAACCAGCAGGAACTCCAGCGCCTTCGCCAGCAGGAGCTCCGCCGCCTAGCCGCTCCGCGCGTTCCTGAACGGCCAGATCCCGTTGCCAGCAATAGTACGCATGGTACTCGTTGTCCGGCAAGAGGAACTGATACTTATTTTGGTCTTGCTCCAGCAAAGTTCGCTCCTCAAGCCCAGGTCCGCTGAAAGCAGCTAGACGCGCCATGCTTTGAATCACACCCACCAGGTCTGCCGGCGGCGGGCTTGTCGGGCTGCATTGGGCTCACAGCGTGTGACACCACCGGCGCAACAGCTTGGATTTTCATCTGGGCCGATGGCCGTGGAGCAGGTGCCGGGGGTGGTGGCTGCCGTGGTGGCTGTGGCTGCAGTGGTGGTGGCAGTGGTGGTGGTGGCAGTGGTGGCTGTGGTAGTGGTGGTTGTTGTGTCTGCAGTTGCGGTGGCTGTGGTGGAAAGGATGGTAGTGGGGGAGGGGGTGGTGGTGCTGGTGCTGGCGTCGTTGGTGCCGTTGCTGCCGCTGGCGGCCGAGCCCGCTCTGCATGGTGGTCCGCCGCCCGAAACGCCTTCAGCGCCTCCGTCATATCCGCATCGCTGTCGTAGAAGAGGAAGGCACTTGTCTGCGGCTGGTACGCGCTCCTGCATGGCAGAATTCGCACTGCCACCGGCTTTGGCGCATTGTACTGCTGCGCCCTCGCCAGCACATCCTTGGTAGCGGCGCAAGTTCGTGCACGTGTGTGTACAGTTAGTTCATGAAGGTTCGCAGTTTCAAGGCGCATGCTTATACAAGTCAAGGCGAGGCGCTGCTTTGGTGACATTCCCCGGCCAATCAGCTGTGTACAAGCGGCTCTCCATGGCGCACACCAGGTACCAAGTTGTCAAATGCAAGTACACCTCTTGAACAGTGTACAACACAGATGCAGGCTGCGTAGTGGCGTAGTGGAATGCTCCTTGTGCAGTGCCGATGCAGCTTTGTACATCATACCCACCTCGGTTGTATCACATGTGCATGTGTGTGTGTGTCCTTTCATGCATCCCTCATCGGAGGTTCCTTGTTTTTGCAAGAGCCAAAATGGAGCCGCCAGAAAATAAATATTGTTCATGCTGCATGCGAAACCTGCAAAACCTCCTCCTTTGGACATGTACAAGCGCATGCGCTGTGTGGGACTCGTTTTCCGCTATGGTTCAAATCCAACCACGGTGTATTTGTGAGTGGCAGTTCTAGCTCGACAAACTGGCAAGCTCAATTCAATCACAATGTGCATGTTACACAAAAGGGCGCCAGTTTGGAGTCAGTCACGTGACACTTGCCGGCAAGGACAACATCACACACCACAGGTCAAAGCCCACAAAGCCCAACACACAAGCAGCGCAAGTACATGTAAGTCAGTAAACAAGCATCAACTGCAGCTGGTTCATCGCACAAGCTGCTGATTCAAGGATGCCACAGTTTGAATACTTATATACAGCACATGCTATCCGCTTCACAGTTTGAACAGCTTGAACACGCTTCATCCGCACACGTGTTCATGGCCCAGAAAAGGCTTGTACGTGTAGAGGACAAGTATATATATATATATGGAAAAAACCCACACAGCTACGGCAAGCACGCAGGCGTTTGTGGCACACAACTTGGAGTTCGTGTAGCACAAGTACAAGCCTCACAGTACAAAAGATGCATGCGGCGCAAGTGTCCTGTGTACAATCCAATGGCTGCGCGCAGGGCAAGTGTACAAAAAGGCAGAGAACTGTTGCACACAAGTTTGTACCTCTGTGACAGCTTGTACTTTGCAGCTCTTGCTTGCTTTGCGGCCTGTGACAAAAACAGTGTCTGGGCTTTCTAAACTTTGGGCCGTGGTTCCTATATACAATGGGTGTGCGTCGCAAAATCTCTGACAATTTTCTCAAGCTCTCACACTTCAGGGCTTCGCAGCCACACATCCTCCCGCCACGCTGCGCATATAAACAAACACAAGAGAAACACAAATAATGGCGCGCTTGCTGCGCTGTTCTATGCAAAAACAAGTGGTGCAACAAGGTGTTTATATGCATTTGCGTGATTTAGACTCGCAGTTTAGACGCGCTATTTACACTACAAATTTAGACTCGGCGCAGCTTTGTAGTCTAAATTTCCGCGAGGCTATTTTTAGACTCAAAGGATCTTTCAGGTAACGAGGCCAAGCGAAGCTGGCCCCGGCTGGGGTTGGGTCTGCAACGAGGTATTGAACGGCTAGGTAGCGAGGTCTGTAACGAGGCAAAGCAAAGCGCAGCACGCAAAGCACGCCTCTGCAGGTCTATTCAACGCAAGCCAAGCGGTAAAAAAGCAGTGGTCGCTGGCCGGGCTGGGGTTGGCTCTGTAACGAGGTATGTAACGGCTATGTAACGAGGTTTGTAACGAGGCAAAGCAAAGCACAGTTTGCAAAGCGCGCCTCCGCAGCTCCAGCTTGATTGCAGCTACTCAACGCAAGCCAAGCTGCGGCAAAAAGAGGGCAGTCACGTCACTGGCCTGGTTTGTTCATCTGAGGTGTGTAACGAGGGTGTGTGACGAGGGGTGTGTAACGCGGGGTGTGTAACGAGCCAGCTGGTCTTGTTACAGAGGTCTGTAACGAGGTCTGTAACGAATGTCCGCCGCGGCTTTGTTACAGACCCCTCAAAAAAATTCGCTGCCATACCTTGGGGTGGGCACGCCAGAAGTGGCCCGGCGCTGGACATCTGAAGGGTTGATTGACTGAATTCATCCCCACATCTCAAAAAAAGGCTCAAAGCAAGGAAAACACACCTCCCCAAAACGGAGATCAAGCAAAACGAGAGTTCGCATCTTCCGATTGGGATATGGTCCTGGGAGTTCATGGCGTTTGCAGAGCATTACCCCAGTGAACCCTCACATCGAAAAGCAGCAGCAGAAAAGAAAAGAACACAACGAAGCCGATATTATATGTGTGTCGGTTTTTAGGGACCCCCCAAAATGAGGGCTTGCATTTTGGTGTCCTTTTAACACCACCAAAATGCGCACCCTGAAAAAAGACAGATCCATATATTTTCCTAGAGACCACAGCTGCACGATGTCAACCCACCAAGGGGATCCACAAATCGCCAGCCACAGCAGATCGCCGGCGGCGATAAAGACCACGAAGGATCCCAGGCGTGACCAGGATTCCACTGCCAAGCCTTCCGGAGCTTGAAGGCGCAGGCCCCGCAGGACCGTGGGAAGATGCAGGGCGGCCATGACGTTGCTCAGCGCATAGGTGGCCCATAACAAGCCATCGATGGGATCCGGCTTCTGTGCCATCCTGGTCATGGCTTTACTGGATCTTTCGCGATGGATACGCGTGAGTCCCGTTTTAGGGTACCCCCTTGTTTGTGGTTTCAAAGACAACCAACATTTGTTTTCAGACCGCGTCACTGTGAGTGTGCGGTGTTTCGCAGCTTGAATGGAAACTCGAGTTGAACATTGCTTGAATCAATTGTGTGTAGATCTTAACTGAGGTGTAAAAAAATAGTTTGAAAATAAAATAATGTGCAAAATATCATTCAAGTAGAAGATGTCTAATTGACAAATACTTAAACTTATTGTCTATCATACTATGATTTGTGATTGGAGTTGTTCATTATCAGCTATCTGCTTGAATTATAACATTAATTCTACTGGGAACATACATATCTAGAATCTAAATTTAATATATGAGTCCAATAGAGTGTTTTCATTTATATACTTAAAAACATACTTTCCAGTAGGGTTCGAAACAAGTATGTCCCTGTTGGTTCTATTTGAAGTCCTAATCAAATTCTAATTGAATTCTGGAGAGCGGCCGTTGGTGATGGTGGAGATGTGTTTTGAGTACGAAAATGCTACGAAACACTGTGTTTCACGGTAGGAAGTATTATATGTCCATTCAACATGTGTATGATGTCCTGTCCAACCAAATGTTGTTTAAAATTTAATTTAAATGAGTTAACATGTCATGCCGTACCAAGGGCGGGATGTGAACTACGCAAGTGCACTTAAACACAAGAGCTCTCGTGCACGGACCTGAAAAGGGAGGATGCAACAAATGCAACCAGGCTAGAGAAAACCAGGACATGCTAGAAGAAAACAACAAACAGTTCAGACCCATCTCCCAGATCCTGGAACTCCTCACTCCTCCCCGATGGGTCTGTGTTTTTGTTTTGCGGTTCTTGAGGCTATTGAAGTTCTATCCAGACCTCATGTTCCAGATGCAGATGTAGATGCGGATCTGCATTCTTCCATTTTTAGCTTCCAAATGCTCGTGTCAGGGAAACGTTTTTTTTTTTTTGCGGGGGGGGGGGGGGTAGCCTATTTATGGCACACCCACGTCTAAAATCCCTCAGTGGACTATGACCATCCCCAGCAATCCCAAGCAAGCGAATCGGCCACGGCACATTTGCTGCTGCAGTTTTGCCGCGTCAGTGGCGGGCAAGAGTTCCACGAGCTGCAGACCCAGGTACTGCATCAAAGACATGAAGCCCGACATCAGCAGGTTGCTCATGGTGATGGCAAAGATGCCCGCCGTCCAGAACAAATGCGTTTGAACTTGTAAAGCCTCATCGCCAGGAGGCCATAGTTGCCATAGCCACCTCAAGCCAAGCGGGGGGTCAGAGTAACGTACCCTCTGGCAACCTCTCGCAACGAGAAGTGGTCCCTGGGTATGGCCCCAGGTGCGAAAACGGGTTGTCTCAGACCGTGCGGTTGTGCAAGCCTGCGGTCCCAATTTCTGATATGCTGGGGGGCTGGTTGCCGTACAGAGTCCAAGCTTCTGGGTACAAACCACCGAGATATGCGCAAAGCGCAGCAAGTCAAGGCACCCCTTTCCTTTGTTCCACCGGCTGTCCATTCAATGGAGTGACAATCTGGTTACCCAAACGCATGAAGGACTATACCTTTCTAGCCGAGTGTGCCATGGCAACATTGGGTAGGCTCCAATCAATCCATTATTGAATGTACATGGCCTGACCTTTACCAATATGGGTGTGCATCAGGACTCGCTGGGGATTCATTTCGACCAACCACTTTGGAGGTTCCATTTTCAAAAAAACCTGGCCACATGTGTATATATATATATATGTGAAACAGGGCGACCGCACAAACGGTTGGTTTTCCCTTTTGGCCCTTCAAACCCACCCTAAAAAAGAGCACCTTCAAACAAGACAAGCCCATATGGGTGTGTCCTTTTCTAGGGGACCCACAAACACTTAACTGGTGATTTTCCTTGGCTTCCCTTTTAAACCACAAAAAGGGCGCACCCTCCCAAAAAGACGACACCACCCAAAAAACCCAAGCGCCCAGCCGCTGTGCTTCAGCCTTCATAAGCACCAGCGGCACCACCGGCGACAGAACGCATGCGAAGTTGCAAGGTGCCACCGCTGGCTGAGACTGGAGACCGGGTCCCAGTCCGGAAGCGAAAGTGCCCGTGGCGCCGACCATCAGCAAACATCCGCAGGTAGAGACAAAAAGAACCCTGCGGGGCAGTGTTTCCCGGCAGAGGTTGATCAGTTGTCCGTTGAAACTGCCACTTTTGGAGGATCCGGAAAGGGAAATTGAGGAATTCCTGTGCTGAAGGGCGGCAGTTTGAAAGAGAGTACGTTGGACTCCATTTCTCGGCAAGTATCATCGACTAATCAAAACTGAGTTGGTCAATTTCACCATGTTGGGAGTCGTCTCTCAGCTTTCAGCATTTTCAAAAACCTAACAGCGCCCACAAATGAGGACAATTGAGGTGATGATTCGTCATGTCCCGCGCTGAGCTCGGCGGGTAGAAGAAGGAGCAAGTATCGTATTGCGCGTGCACAAGTAATCACGTCCAATATAGCTATAAGTTTTAATGAGGAGCCCCCTCAAAAGTTGTTGGTGGACATTAATCCCCACGTAAATGATGTCCACCAAAAGGTATCTTATTAAAACTTCCAGCAGTTATATGTTCTTGGAAGAAAATCTCAGACAAGTCCTGAAGCACTTGCCCCAATACTGAATACGTCAAGTCACTCTCAATCCCTGAGTGATGTTTCGCATTCCTTGAGTCTCCATGACCCTGTAAAAAGGGAAAGAAACGGGTCATGGCCCCATTTTGGAAGGGCCATGAAGACTCCAGGTCAATATGAAAACAAATATGTATGTCACCTTTTTGTTGGGGCGTCACATATATTAGCTCCTTGTCCTTTTCGCCCAGTCGCCTCCAGTGCTCCTGTTCCCGCTGCCAGGCGGGTGTGGCGGCGAGTCTCAACACCGAGCACCAGAGGCCGAGAGGAAAAGCCCAACATCCTTGGATATCCGCCCTTCCACCAACATGGCACCTGACAGAGGGTCCCTCCAAGAATTTGATCTTTCAGGTACCCTCCTCGCTGTTGCTATGTTAGGAAAGAGGGGTACCCCTTCTTACTCTGATGTGCGGTAATTTGGAATAGTGTAGAAACTGCACAAAAGACAGTGTTCCCAAATATCACGGAAGTGGACAGGGTCCCCAACAGGAATTTTGTCTTCCAAGATTAAGCTTCCATGATTTTGGAGGGAGGGTATCTCTGGCGGGATGGACCCAAACCGGCCTGAACAAACACCCTCAAAAAAAACATATTATAGAATCCCAACAAGATCCAACAAGACTACCCTCAAAAACACAGCCCCATATCTCTGGCAGAATGGTTCACCCCAATCTTATCCTGGTTTGCCAACGGGTGTTCCACAAATAGACCATGCCCTTGAGTGAAGATCGCAAACAAAACAAGGAAACCAAAATGTCAAAAGTTCGGATTTGGGCAAGTAAGGAATTAATCGTATCCAACTTCGCATTGCCACGTCTAAGGGTGATGTTCAACAGAGTGACTTTGCGACATTTAACAGTCGCTGTCTTTGTTTCTGCAAGGTCCCCATTTCTTTGCAGGGGGACATCTACCTTAATACCTTGGCGAACGATCCAAACAACGAAACCAACCAAGATAACAACGTAGCTTGACCTGGAAGGTCCTTGTAGTTTTGTCCCAGCATTGTCTGAAAGACCTCCCCCAAACTCGATAGTGGTTAGCAAGGGGACAAAACATGGTACAGGAGGTTGAAAAGAAGTATGGTTGAAAATAATGGTCGGAAACAACCCCTAGAATGCTTTTGCGAGGGGAACCAAGGGAAGACCACAGTTATCCACAGTTTGCTTTTTTGTGGGGGCCGACGAAAAAAGACCACCCCATCTCTTGATCAAGCATCCGAGCTCCAGAAACTTCTGGCCGCCAGGACCAGTGCTGTGCCCGTGGCTGGGCGGACTCGGTACTTTGATGGCGGCCTCAAACTTTTCAGCGCCACAGTCGGCTGGGGAAGACACTGAGTGCGTTTTGATTTTTTAGGGGACCCCCCAAAAAAGGGTAGGTGTTTTTTTAAAGGTGGGTGCCCCCCAAAGAAGATTTGATGATGTGTTTTGGGGACCCCACAAAATTGTGGTTGTCCTTGTGGCTTCACTTGAAAACCACCCAACAAGGGCCGGATCGGGGTGTCTCAAAATGGTGGACTTGTTGTAAGTTGGTATTTAAACGAAACAAACGGATAAGTATTTTTAGGCACCCTTCTTGAGGTTCGAAGGAAACCAAAAGGAAAACCACCATGCAAAGAAGGGTTTATGGTGTCAAAGGTGAGTTTGTCAACTCTTTCAGCTGAACAAGGACTTGAACGACTTCCTCCCCTATCAGCAAACCAAAGCTTAGCTTGGTCAAAAAACGTGTTTCCCGAAAAACCAACCTAGCACTTTTGCGAAGTCAGCAGCCAATGTGCCAAGTTGCCACTGTCCACCAGGACATCAAAGCCCAAAGACACAACGCCAGGGGGTGGTTCTTCGCGAGCTCTCGTAGCTGCTGATAGGCCCTCCATTGCGCCAACGCTATTTCTGCCAGATGCTGTCGCATAGCCTGCCGCGGCGAAGGCTGCCAAGTCGAGCGCCAGCAATTAAACAGCCGATGCCGAAGGAAGCGGAAAAGGCCACGTCCTGTGCGTGAGAAAACGTTATTGGGGCGAAACATGTCTGTGGCCATTATCATAACAACATACCGGGTTAGGTATTCACATTGTCATGATATGAATATCAGTGTGTATAAATATATATATATATATATATATATACTAACATATCTATATACATACAAAAGTGAACTGTGTGTCTGCGCATAACCCATCAACTACATGGGTGACATCTCCACCACATACTGAAACGTATCAAGAACATATGGCCTGTAGACCAGCAGACGGCGGATGTTCAACACCGAAATGAGTTAATTGGAGTTCAGTTCAAAACACTTGCTTTGTGGACGGGGGCGCTCGACAGAAGACGAACCGTTGGGCATTCGCCAGGCCAAACTACCCCCGTCCCCAATCAAACAGACACACACACACACAGAGAAACCCTGCCACCATTTCACAGGGTAGGGGGTCTAATGCACAAAGTGTCGGTATGCTCAACAGGTGCTGCCAGTTGCATTGAACTGGTCAGCAAACCCGTACCGCTAAAGTACATGTGGAACAAACACGCATAACTTCTTTTCTCACTAGTTGGTCCTAATTAACGAAGATGCAACTTCAACATGGTAAAGATATGTAAAGATACTGTACTTTACCAAAGCGACAAAACACACGCGGAAATTACCGGGTGCAAGAATTCTCCGCACCCGTCCAGAATCGCATTTCCTCATCAGCGCCAGGGGCTGCGAACAAATATCGCAGCGCAAATGACTTTCTTCCGCAGGCACATCGACACCACCCGCCGACCTCCGACAAGTTGATCCATCTGGTTGATGGCTCCAAAAAACTGAGAGACACTTTCATTTGCGAATACGTCCCCTGGAAAAATAGGGAACAACAGACCAGTAGTGATAGATTCCGATTTTAAGACAAAAGGTGAAAATAAGGACATGCGGGCCCTGGGTAAACTTTGTACACTGCAACAATTTGGGGTCTGAACATCCCATTTGCTGGGCTCTAGCACAGCAGGTGGGGACTAAAGCCAAACGCCTGCTTGTCACTTGAAGCATGAAGCAACGACAGGTCATGGCTGAGGCTTTTGTTGAGCGCCCCAAAAATTGCGGGGCACTCGGTGGCATTCTTATTCGCCCACCTGTGATGCCACCACTGCGCCAAGCAGGTCGCATGGACCCAGCGCATGGATCCCTGGCATTGGCAGGGCTGAATCAACTCACCTTCCTCCGGGCCCGCCAAACAGATCCGGCATTGACCCTCGTCGCCCATCGCCGCTCAGCGCTGAAGCGCTGAATGAGCGCACGGCCGAAGGTTCGAGCCGGAGGCTTGTGAACTGGGCCCTCGAAGGAACATGAAACAGGATTCCTCATCAGATTTCAATCACAATGAGCCAGCAAAGGAGAAGGAGCATGAAAAGGCTATGTCGGGCCAAACCAGTAACAAGGGAACATGGCAAGTTGAGGTTTTTGAAGGTCTGTTTTTAACACGGTCTGTTTTGTAAGAAGTCACAAGCTTCATTTTCACCACGTCGAGATCTCCACCCAGATGACTCCTCAAACTCGATCGACTCGAGCCTGGAAAGCGGTCTGCTCCCCGCTGCCGCAGACGTATCTCACCTCCCGAGGTTCGACCCGAAAGCTGTGCTGGACCCCTCATGGCAACCCAAATTCAGCTTCCCCCATTTTGTGGTTGGGAGCCCAGTGGCTTGGATAGGTGCTCCGGAAAAAGGGCTTCCGAGTGAACTACCTTCCAGAACAAGGGCTTCACCTCAAATCGTTTCAGGGACCCAGGGGTACAAAGAAAGTATGTTGTTCAGATGTTCCATATTCAGTCTATAATGCACATGATTGGAGGAGACCGCAAATAAGAGCCTACACAAGTGGAATCCTGTCGTGGTGCAATCAAGTCATGTCATAAATAGTAACTCGTGCAACTATCTGCGCCCCTCAATATAAATGTGTGCTATCAAATGGGTGCTAGGATGCTACAAGCACCACAACGTGATGCAAGCTTGCAGCTAGCGTCACTGCGGTGATGCAGGACTAGACAGCAAGAGCAAGAGGTAGGAAGTAGTAGGAAAAACAGGAAGCTTTGGAAGTAGAAGGAACTGACGCAAGAGGGATTTTGTGAAGGTGCGCGAAAAAACCAGCAGGAACACATGTTTTTGCGAAAGGGCTGATGAATCATGGCCCCCTCAAAGGGCATGGAGCTCTTTAAAGGGCTTTCCACTGGCCACCCATTTGCGGGGGCCCCTCCCTTGACTTCCATTCGTCAAAGACCCCGTTTAACGGCAACGCAGAAGAAACCAACAAACGGTCACCTGCTATGGTTCCACCAACCGGTTCTCAAGGTTTAGGAGACAGTAGGGCCTGTATCCAAAACGGTGAAGGACTTGCGCTCCGAAGTGGGTGATGCTTTGGAATTCAGCATGCTGATATGGGTCTGTCCTTTGTTGAGGGCACGGGCACCAAAAGGAGAGTACCCCTTTTTGGGGCTTCCTCCTGGGACATCCGAGAAAGGTGAATATTGTCGCAAGCCGCAAGCTGCAAATAGGCCACGTCGCTCAGATGCAACTCTTCAACGGAAAAGGCTTGCTTCTTGGTGGTTGGTTCATCTCCATCTAAAAGTTCAGCTGTTGGCGGGATGTGGCAAAAGCCCTGTAAACCAGGGTTAGGGTTGGGGCAACCGCTGGTTCAGACATGCTTAAACCACCCTTGTTAAAGCAACCTCCTTTTGGCTTCGGGTTGCAGGCGGGCCCTAGTCTGAGTGCTTACCAAAAAGTATGGCCTTCACACGTGGGGTAGAAAATTGTATGTTCAAACTCAGTTGCATAGTGTCTGTTTTTGAGGGTACCCCGTGTTGGTTGGCTTTATACAAATGGATATTACAAAGGGACACACACCAAAAAGCTTGTTCTTCTTGTTTGGGGGGTGGCACCCATATTTGGAGACATGTAAGGAAACCTATGGCTAACCTCCAAAGCTTGGTGACAGCCTCTGTGCTGCGGTTCTCAGTGCCGCCCTTGTAGAACTCCCCTCAGCACCAAACAAAAACCGAGTTCCCCGAAATGGGCGGCTCGTCTTTTCCTTGCTGCGAGAAGTAGGGAATGAGGGAATGCAGCCAGGGGCCTTCAAGGAAATCACCGGTTGGATGGTTTATAAGGGTCATGCCCTCATTCCCTGAGCGCCATCAAGTTTCATTTGGGGGGGGCCCTAAAACACAAATAAATGGGGAAAGCTGCTGATAAATTAACTGCAAGTGATTCATTTTCGCAGGATGGCCTAGTTGCTTCATATTGAGGAAATCGAATACACTCGTGAGCAACAGGGACGGCGGGCGGGTTGTTTCATTCTGAAATGTTCACAAAAGGCTTTACCTCCCACGCACCAAATCCACCAAATGGCCCTTTTTAAATAGACAGGGCCTTTACCCAGTTAGGTGCCATGTAGCATCTCACTTCCTGAGTGGATTGTTCAAACAAGTCTGAACTTGTCATTTACCACTAAAATGGTATTCCAAAAAGTTATAAAGTCCATAAACTCAGGAGTGAGGAGCATGTTTCTTTCTCATCCACCTGAAAACGGCTCCAAAACAGCCAACATGCGAAGGGTGACACCTTTGAGAGTGCGAAAGGGTTTGAAACAGAGTTTCGGGATGGATAAAACAGGCCCTAACCCACCAACAAGAAGAGACCACCTTATCCCCCCCCGGTCCCAAGGGCAAAGCGGTTGCCCTCGGCCGGCACAAACACGAACCAAAAGGGGTGCCAGTTTAACAAACAGAAGAAAGAACCCAGCAAGGGCAGCAGCGCAGCAAGCGCACGAGCAGCAGCACCAACGCGGGCAAGCAAAGCGAGCGAAGCAAGCAAAGCAAACCAATGCAACAACCCAACAAAGCGAATGACCCACCTCCGCCAGGAGACCAACCGCGGAAGAAGCGGCCCGCACCTTTTCCAGGTACGAGACGAAGTCCGCGCCGTTGGCGCTAGCGACGAAATGGCAGACGCTCGTCGCCGGTTGTAAAAGCTTGAGCCAAAAGCCGCGTTGGGCTTCGGCATGAAACATGCTATGATAAAAGTACATGCCCCCAAAAACACCCCCCTCGCCTGTACAAAGAGAAGGAGTGAATTTGGAAGGGCGCATTGGCCATGTTGAAGTTGAAAAGCAAATAAAAAGAAAACAGAGCCGATTAGGCTACCAGGGTTCGCGGCCCCATACCCGGGCACTCATTGGTGCCCGGATCCCGCCACCACCCCGAATTACGGGTATGGGGCGGATTCGCGCCGGTAGCCAAATCAAACAAGAGAAAGCAAAAAGAAACAGAAACAAAGATTCAACTCCAGAATGGCAGGCATGAAATAAAAATACATTTGCACTGCAACCACATCGAACCGTAAGGTTCGAGTGGATTTATTTCCTGAATTCATGATTTAGGCGCATTGGCCCACTGGTTGAAACGTGGTGCTTCGACCACAAGACCACGGTCTTTAAATTAGCACCGTCTAGGCGCGCGATCACGCAAAGACCTTCGGTAGGAACACCACCAGCTGCAATCAGCGGTTCAGGTCCGAATAGGACCTCACCGGCAGCGGTGCAGCGCATCCGTGATCCTCACCACAGCACCTTGATGAGCTCCATCACCAGCAGCAGCAGCGGTGCTGGAGAAAGCAGATCACCAGCGGCCATAGACGCCGCCAAGGATGACTTCCTTGCTGCGGCGACATACACCTGACAGGTAATCGCTGCCTGCGCGAATAGCGCACAGCTGCGCATGCAGTTGAATTCCGAAATGGCGAATAGCCCAAACACAGAAATACTACAAGGAGCATAGTCCATTATGTGAATTCCGGAATGAAGGCATGCGCGCGTTGGCGCCGCCACGCAAAGGAAGCAGACGAACATCAGGTATCACCGATGTCGTCCGCCGCCGTGCCGTCCCCTCCCCTTGTTGACGTTCCAGTCCCCAGGAGGAGGAGGCACGGTCTCGGCCAACTCATCATCCGCACCCCAGGTAGGGGTATGCGGCGAGTTCGGATTCTCGAACTCGCGGGGATCACCCTGCATGTGCGGCTGCCAACCCTGCGGCATTGCGCCAGGCCACATTTGCGGCATCATGCCAGCCATTGGCTGTTGCATGTACCCTCCCATTGGGAAAGCGGGGTACATCGGACTCGGGAAAGGGTAAGGAGCTGCCTGAGCACCCTTGTATCCCGACCCGCGAGCATCAGGCTGATACCCGCCAGTGGGAGTTCTCGATCTGGCGGATCCGCCACGACCGAACTGCCCTTGTTGGTAGCCGTATTGGCCACCCTTGCCTTTGTACTGATCACCTTTGTGACCCTTTCCTGGGAACTGGTCACCCTTGTGACCTCCGCCCTTGGGCCAGGATTGCGCAGGGGCTTTGCCCTTTTGCTGATCACCCTTTGACCTGGATTCAGGTCGCGGGGTAGCAGACCGCTGGTCTCCCCTAGGAGTGGCTGCCCGCCTGTGGTGCTTCCCAACCGGCGGGTCAGCAAAAACAATGGCGCATTGGCCGTCGCGCCGCGAAGCGGGGACCATGTCAACCTTGTTGTCTTCGACATAAATGTATGCCTCAGCATACTCAATTGGGGCCGTGATGGATCCACCACCGGCCCGCAAAGAGTCGATACTCCAATCAAGAACAGTGGAAGCATCGAAACTCGGATCTTCAGTATTGAAGTCCGTGAGGCGTCGCTCAGCCTGTACCAATGACATTATGATGTCCGCGCGTGAGGCGCCTAGGCCATACAGCGGAACCAAATACCCGTCCTCAATCCCGATGCGGTAGGCATCAAAGATATGCACGGAGAGGTAAAGGGCAAATGCTGAATTTAGACTGCCCTTTCTCGTCATATGACGACCCCATTGCGCCGCCTGTTGCGGGTGCTCGATCAAATATGCCAAGACAGACATATTGTCGGGAATCGAGACGCCAGTGTTGCTCTCCTCGATGAGCAGCTGTTTCGCTACCCACCGCTCGAGAGCCTCATCACTCGCCCGCACACAAGCGTGAGTGTCCTTTGAGGTGACCTTTGCAACCTCCTGAAACGCAACTTGCACAATGTCCGCGTTGGGAACGTGCACAAGATGCGGCGCACAGCGCAAACCGGTGATCATACAGCTGACCACCTCGCGGATCGGGTTTACCGATGCCATGAGAGGAGCCCACGCGTCGGTCTCCCCTTCGTACCAGCTACTGGCACGGACTGCTTTGAGTCTCTCTAGCCAGATTGGCTGCCCATTCTTAACCAGAGAACGGACGGTGCCTGGCACCCATTCACGATAGAAAATCGGCAGATGGCAACCATTGCA